TGTTTAAGCAGAGATGAACTTCGACGTTAAACCCAAGCCCCCTAAACCCTAATTTTCAGCGTCGTTAATTTGGGTAGCGGACTACACCCCCCAAACCCCTTAACCCCAAAACCTACACCCCAAACCCTAAACCACAAACCCCAAACCCCAAACCCTAAACCCTAAACCCTAAACCCTAAACCCTAAACCCCAAGCCCTAAACCAAAACTCTCCTTGGGCCACCTCTGCTGGGCAGTCCCCGAGGCTCATGGCGGGCGGGCGGATCTCCGCCGTCTCCTCAAGACGAATGGGGGGTTTAGGGTTTAGGGTTTAGGGTTTAGGGTTTAGGGTTTAGGGTTTAGGGTTTAGGGTTTAGGGTTTAGGGTTTAGGGTTTAGGGTTTAGGGTTTAGGGTTTAGGGTTAGGGGTCAGAGGGGGGGGGGGGGGGGTGTTGACCTTTAGAAGGTTTTCGGGCTGAGGGTGGCTAGGGCTTAGGGCTTAGGGCTTCCGCTTGGGGCTTAGGGCTTAGGGCTTAGGGCTTAGGGCTTAGGGCTTAGGGCTTAGGGCTTAGGGCTTAGGGCTTAGGGCTTAGGGCTTAGGGCTTAGGGCTTAGGGCTTAGAGTTTCTGCTTGAGGCATAAGGTCTAAGGTTTCGGGTTTTTTAAGGTTTAGGCTTCAGGGCTTAGGACATAGGGGCTTTCTCCGGCCAGAGCCTTCATGTCGTTTATGCAACACTTCTACAAGGGTAAAAGCCGGATTCAAACCCTCACCCTTAAACCCTTAAACCCTTACACCCTTAAACGCTTAAACCCTTAAACCCTTAAACCCTTAAACCCTTAAACCCGTAAACCCTTAAACCCGTAAACCCTTAAACCCTTAAACCCTTAAACCCTTAAACCCTTAAACCCGTAAACCCTTAAACCCTTAAACCCTTAAACCCTTAAACCCTTAAACCCTTAAACCCTTAAACCCTAAACCCTAAACCTTAAACCCTAAACCCAACCCCAACTTCAGCAACAAGGACTCCAGGACCTGGGTTCAACAACCAAAAGCCGTTGTTTCAGAACCTGCTACCCGGGCTTATTAAGGGCGGGCTTGCAGTAGGATAATGCACCACCCTAACACTTCTGCCCCCCTGTGGAGTTTAGGGTTTAGGTCTATAGAGGGTTTAGGGTTTAGGGTTTAGGGTTTAGGATCCACACAGTGCCGTACTGCGACACGGAGACGCCACTATCCCTCATTTAGGGACACCATCCCTAAAATGAGGGAATATGCCTCAGAAGTACTTTGTGCTGGGGATATGATTGGAGGGTCATTCCTTAAGAAAGGGATTGACATGAACCCTAAACCCTAAAGCCGAAACCCGAAACCCCAAACCCTAAAAAGGGATAGCCGATGTGAATCCGCCGAGGCCTCGGGCCGGAGGTGTACAGGCACCCCCCTCCAAATCCTCCACACCCAAAGCCCTTTTTCGGAACCGGCCTCAAATAAATACCCCCCGGATTCCGCCAGCGGACGGTTCGCCAGGACCAGAGGCAGTTGAAGCCCCTCCCAGCAGGGCCCCCCGCCCCAGAGGCAGTTGAAGCCCCTCCCAGCAGGGCCCCCCGCCCCCCCCCCTCTTACCCCCTTCCCCCCCCCCCTGCTACCCCCTCCCCCCCCCCCCCCCCCCCTCCCCCCCCCACCCCCCCCCCCTCTCCTCCCCCCACCCCACCTCCCCCCTCCCCACTATGCCGAAGAGTCGCCTTAAACCTTAAAGGGCCTGGCTCAACCCTACGATCACTCCAAGCCGAACCCTAAACCCAAAAAAACCCTCAACCCCAAAGCGTGAACCTTGAGCCCTAAACTAACCCTCAACCCCAAATCCCAAACCATAAACCATAAACCCGGAACCCTCAACCCTCAACCCTCAACCCAACCCTTATTGCTTGGGGTCCAGTGACTTGGGCGCTGCGGAATCACCATGCTCACGCGGATGCGCTGGGCCGGGCCGAGGCGGGTCGCGTAGCGTTAAAATTAGGGACCGTTCCGTGTCTGGGCCTGGGGAATGGCCTGCGCGGCCCGGACATGTGCCAGATGAAGCAAGTGCCTGGCGCCTAATCCCTATCCCCTAAACCCTACTTTGGAGTAAACCCTAAAACAAAAGTATATACTTTTTGGGTATACGTAGCTATAATCGGAGCCCAGAACCAACAAGAATGTACTTAAGTATAGTACTCCAAAAACTCCAAAACCCAGTAAAGGGTGTACAGGGATTGAGGGACTTGGACGAGGTTACCAAACAACCAAGATGCGACATGAAAGATGCGACATGAGCTTCAGAAAAATTAGGTTGCACCCTTGTTGGGGACTCTATTATTTTTGGGGTAGATGAGCCCTAAACCCTAAACCCTAAACCCCAAACCCTTAACCCCAAACCCTAAGCCCCTAAACCCCCTGTATTTGGCTAGTATTTGGAAATGCCCACATCAAAGTTCGAAACTTGAAGGCTCGGTGGCAGGATCCTTTGGGGTGGTTAGGGTTTAGGGTTTAGGGTTTAGGGTGTAGGGTTTAGGGTTTAGGGTTTAGGGTTTAGGGCTTAGGGCTTAGGGCTTAGGGCTTAGGGTTTAGGGTTTAGGGTTTAGGGTTTAGGGTTTAGGGTTTAGGGTTTAGGGTTTAGGGTTTAGGGTTTAGGGTTTAGGGTTTAGGGTTTAGGGTTAGGGTTTAGGGTTTGAGACCTTGGACTTGTGCTCTTGCTTTTTGGCCCTTTTAGGGGTTTAAGGCGCTGGGGGGCGAAGCCTGCCAGCCGTTCTCAGATGTAAATGGGTTTCGTGCGAGTTCCTTCCCTAAATGCTAAACCTTAAGCCTAAAAGCCTACAGGCCCTATATATACTGAGCTACCGGAAAGTTCAGCTGATGTCACAAGTTGTGCCTGGTGTGGCTCCGGTCACTCAGGCCCTCGGCCCTAAACCCTAAACCCTAAACCCTAAACCCTAAACCCTAAACCCTAAACCCTAAACCCTAAACCCTAAATCCCCGCTGCTTCGCCGGCATCAGGTGCATACTTGGGCCGCAAAGTGGGGTGGCTACACAGCCCCTCTTGGGGTCAATCCTTCAAAGCCTCATGTGCAAACAATCCCGGCCTGAGTTTCTGCAAACCCCGAACAACTTTGGGGGTTTATTGTCTACCTTTTTCTGCGCCCTAAATGACGGTCCCCTTTCTGAGGTCCCTGATATGATACATGACCTTCATACTTAGGAAACCCCACTATAAGCACGCCCTCATTTAGAGGATATCGCATCAGCTTGCAGAGCCCTTGGGGGGGCGTTTATGAACCCTAAAGAGTGCTTTGGGGGCATAAACTTTTTCCGGTTCAAAGTAGCATAGGGCGCAGTACAGGATCTGACCTTGGGGGCCTTTCGCAAGTGTAGAGAGGTCTTTTGCACATGACCGACTAAGCAAAGCAACCCTAACCCTAAACCCTACAGTAAACCCTAAACCCTAAACCCTAGACCCTGAACCCTGAACCCTAAACCCTAAGCCCTAAACCCTAACCCCTAAACCCTAAACCCTAAACCCTAAACCCGGCCTCAGCTTCAGGGTGAGCCGCAGGCTCAGCGTGTCGAAGCCTTCACGAAGTCCCCGGAGGAGGCTCCGTGCCTGGACGCGCCGCGGGCAAGCGCGCACGAAGGAGCACCGGAGGTCAGGGTTTAGGGTTTAGGGTTTAGGGCTTAGGGTTTAGGGTTTAGGGTTTAGGGTTTACGGATGCTATACGATAAACGGTCCGAAACCCTAAACATTTGGGGCCCCCTCGTCCTACCCGAAACTCTGAAGCATCCGGAGCCTCTTGGGGTTTAGGGTTTGGCGGTTTCAGGTTCCAGACCTGAGTGAGTAGCAGTGGCCGGTAAAGAGGGTGTTGCATGCTGGGCGCAGTCTTGCGGGTGCACTTGGAGGTTCATGGGCACTTACAAGTAAGGTTACAAGTACCCTAAGTAAGGTTCTAACCATAAAGAACCCTACTCATAACACTACTTAGAAGTGCCCATGAACCTCGGGTTTAGGGTGTAGGGTTTAGGGTTTAGGGTTTAGGGTGTATAAGGCTTATGCCCCTGAAGCAACCTAAAGGCTGAAAAAGTGCAGGCTTAGGGGGTGGATCTGTGGGGTCAGGCATCTGGGGATTTGGGGCTTACGGGCTTAGGGGTTTAGGGGTTTAGGGGTTTAAGGTTTAGGGTTTAGGGCTCTACTACCGTGAGGTGGCACCAACACGCGGCTGTCACTCACCTCGCTCAGTCTTGCAACCGCCAGAAAGAAGTCTACTGCCCAGTCATACCGCATGAACAAGACAGGCTTGTACACGGTCACATAACCCCCAAAGATAGGGCCTTTTTGAGCGGTAAATCCACGGGCTACCGGATTAACTCTTCGAGGCAGAGGCTGTGGCTCAAAGACCCGGATGATTCGGTTGCTGCCCCGGTAAAATACTAATATTATGGGTTCTGTGTGGAGATTCCGGAAGGTTCGACAGGCGGTTGGGGCCCGAGGGTGGGTTCCTTGTCAAGAGAGTTCCTGTCACGTAGGTAGACTCATGATGGTTCGGTTTCTATGTTGGGTTCGTAGGGGCGATTCAGAGAGCGGTTAACCTTTCCCAACAGATTAACTCTTGGCACTAGGGATCTGGGCAAACTTTGCAGGGTTTTTTTCGATGTTCCGGCGCGTGGATGTGTTGGCTGACGTCGGGGCTGACGTCGCACGGGGATTTTTGCGCTGATTTCGGCGGGGATTTTTCAAAGAGGAAAACAAGTATTAAGAAAAATCCGCGCGAAATCCGCGAGAAAATCCGCAAGAAAATACGCGAGAAAATCCGAGGGGCCTTGCGCAAAAATCCGCGGAGAATCCGCTCCCCAGAATTCCGCCCCTAATAACTCCTAGAGACAGAGGATATACCAAGAGCCTAGTATATCTTAATTGGGGTTAGACCCATGCTGTAACACAGGATGAGCGTACATCTTGGTAGGCATCCGAAGGGCCGGCTTAGCAGGGAGCTCGCTAGGGAAGTAAGCTGCGTCCCACCATGAAGGGCACTGGGGGAGTGACCTTCGCTATCTTAGGGTTTTAGGGTTTTAGGGTTTTAGGGTTTGACTCGCACTCCTTGGGTAAACACATTTGAAATGAAGATGATGCTCTTAAATCCAATGAGGGAGAATATGAAATGCCCCAAGGGCCTACCTGGATTTTGAAACTTCATTCCCAAGCCTTAAACCCAAAGACCCCACGACCCTAAACCCTGAAAACCCTACACCCTAAACCCTGAAACCCTGTAAGACCCTAAACCCTAAGACCCTAAAACCCTAAACCCTTAGCCCATAGAGCCCTAAGACCCTAAAACCCCAGGACCCTAAACCCTGAAACCCTAAAACTCTAAGACCTAAACCCTTAGCACCTTAAACCCTAAAACCCTAAAACCCTAAAACCCTAAGACCCTAAATCCTAAAACCCGACGACTCTAAATCCCTAAGACCCTAAGACTAGTCCCTGAACCATGAACCCTAAACCCTAAACTCCTAGTAACCAACAGTAAGAACAGCTGGCACCTCGCGGCAGATGCCATTGGCCCAGGTGGCGATCTCTTGGCGCTGCCGTCGCCACTCGGCCTGCTCATGTCCCCACACCCCAAACCCTAAACCCTAAACCCAAAACCCCAAACCCTAAAGCCCTAAACCCTAAACCCTAAACCCCAAACCCTAAACCCTAAACCCTAAACCCTAAACCCTAAACCCTAAGCCGCCGTAAAGCTCCTGAACGATCTTCAAATCTTCAACCCTGAGTTCTTCCGGGGCGTAGAATCCAGAATCGTCGTCGCAAGTGTTTAGGGTTTAGGGTTTAGGGTTTGGGGTTTGGGGTTTAGGGTTTAGGGTTTAGGTTATTAATCACATGCTGTTGAGGGCTTGCTATATGGGGCCAGGGGTGGGTCGACCTCTACTTTCCAAAGTATGGGCCCTTTCTGGTACCCCAAGCTATACTTGGAGGCTCATGGGTACTTATAGGTAAGGTTACAAGTACCCCAAGTAAGGTCACAACCGTCATTACCCTGCCCATAACACTACTTATAAGTGCCACGAACCTCCAAGTAGGGGATATTCTCTACAAACCGAAAGTGGGAAAATCATGGTGCTGGTGGTGACATCATTGTGGAGACACATGTGGTGAGTTCCCTCCAAATAGCAGGGCCGCCTTACAATCAGGACCTCCAAAAGGGACCATGCTTTCAAAAAGTGACCATATTGGGCTTCCGAAGAAAAGGTTAAGTTGTACCCCTTTTGTGGGCTCCTATTGTGATGCCATACTTGAAGTTAACTTGCGCAGCTGGTGTATCCCTTTCCCGGCGCGAAGTGAGCGCAACAGGTACTTGAAGGTTCGCGGTTACTTTTTCATTGGGTTATCTGGGGTAACTATGCTTATAACCTTCATTAGGGTACTTATAATCCTACCTATAAGTATGCATGAGCCTTCAAGTAGGCTTGTAGCACACTAGGGGCACCCCAAGGGCAAGACTCATGCAGCCCGGAATTCGATGTCTTTGCATGGTTTTGTGCCTCTCAACCCTAACCCCTACACCCTAAGTCCTAAGTCCTAAACTACTAGTGGCTTAAGAACCCCAGAACATACAAGATAAAAATCCTCATATTGCCCTTACAAGGAGGAGTACATTTTTGAGGGATTCTTAAGCAATCAGGAGGCAAGCCCTAAACCCCCTCAAACCTAAACCACTCAACCGCGTAAGACTTCAGAGACGCCACCCGTCGCACCTGCAACGACGACTCCAGGGCAACGGACCTGTGCCAAGCGTGGGGAAAGATTTCAGCACTGTAACCCTAAACCCTAAAGCCCCGAACCCTACACACTAAACCCTAAACCCCCTAATCCTAAACACTAAACTCTAGACCCTAAACCCTAACCCCTCCACACCCCCAATGGCCCCCTGAACCCCCCTCGAGCCCGAAACCCCGAAAGCTCCCAAACACCCCTGAGAACCAAAGCCTGAAGTTGTCCGAAAACCTGAACCCTAGACCCCAAACCCCAAGCCCTAAGCCCAAAATTCTAAACTCTACACCGCCCGCTAGCCGTCAGGGTGGAAGGAGCTGAACGGCGAGCGAACGGCGATTTCATAAGTATCGGGTTGATAGGGGTTTTACATACCCGGAACCCTAAACCCTAAACCCTAAACCCTAAACCCTAAACCCTAAACCCTAAACCCCAAGGCCTACCCTACCCGTAACTCCACTAAAAGGTGCCGTCCTCTGGGCCTCAAACCCTAAACGGTTCACGGCGGAAGCCATGAATTCTCAGCCTTCAGCCCTACCGAGGAACCCCCAGTCTGGCAACTTCTGGAACGATGGGTGGGCATAGGGTTGAGGTTTTGCGGGTTTAGGGTTTAGGGTTTACAAGGGGTTTAGGGTTTAGGGTTTAGGGTTTAGGGTTTGGGGTTTAGGGTTTAGGGTTTAGGGTTTAGGGTTTAGGGCTATTCATGTACGCAGCGCGCTCCATAGCAGCTCTTCAGCTTGGAGCTTCCCATGGCAATGTCGCGCGCAGATGTGACGCTTGTGGCACGGTAGCGCGGTCATCCCTTACCCCCAACCCTGTCCTAAACCCCACACCCTAAGCCCTAAGCCCCAGCCCCACACCCCACACCCCACACCCCACACCCCACACCCCACACCCCACACCCCACACCCCACACCCCACACCCCACACCCCACACCCTACACCCTACACCCTAAACCCTAACCCCCCCCGGTGTCGCCAAGCCCTAACCTCCCAGCTTCTCTCTTAAGCCCTACGCCCTAAACCGACTGGTTCTTAGGGAAGGGTGAACTAGGCACCTTATATCCCCGTAAGGAATTCTATAGGGCACCTAATTCCCTCATTGCCTGCGAAGAAACCAAGAAGTAAAAACACCATTCTGGAGAGCGACTTCAAAGACCTGCCAGCCCAAACCCTAAACCCTAAACTCTGAACCCTAAACCACCCTAAATCCTAAACCCTAAACCCTGAACCCTAAACCCCGAGAACCCTCTGGGCCCCCCGGCCCCGGGTCTTCCTCACAGAGATGGCTCGAGGTGATGCACGTGATGGTGGCCTTGGGCGGGGGATATGACAGCTGGTGGCGGGGGTGGGGTGCGGTGCGGTGTCGGGATTTAGGGGTTAGGGTTGAGGGCTAGGTTTAACCCCCCCCACCCACCACCCCCACCCCCGCCCCACCCCAACCACCTCCACCCAAAGACTAGTCTCCAAAACGCTGCAACCTCACTAGCCACCTCATAAGTAGGGTACCCTTCTTCGGGGTTGGTGACTTTAGAAGGGAACCCAGAACCCAAAAAAAGGGGTAAAAGGCACCCCTGGGCTTCCAAGCCTTCCCCAAACCCTAAACTCCAAACCCTAAACCCCAAACCCTAAACTCTAAACCCCAAACCCTAAACCCTAAACCCCAAACCCGAAACCCTAAACCTAAACCCTAAACCCTAAACCCCAAACCCCGGCCTTGAGGAGATGGACGAGGCCTTCTTTGGAGCCCGTTTGGCTCTCGAGGTCGAACAGGCACTTCTCCAGGACCCCTTGGGGCCAAGGGAGTTTGTGGTTTAGGGTTTAGGGTTTAGGGTTCAGGGTTTAGGGTTTAGGGTTCAGGGTTTAGGATTTGGGGTGTAGGGTGTAGGGGAGAGTTTGCGGGTTGGTGGGGGTTTTGGGGGAGGTTTAGCTAGGGCGTTTCATGTTTGGAGGGTTTAGGGGGCGCTTGAGGTTTCGGGGGTTTTGGGGCTGTTGGAGGTTCAGGCGTGTAGGGTTGTTTGAGGTTTAGGGCTTAGGGTTTAGGGTCGTTTCAGGTTTTAGGGCTTAGGGCTTAGGATTGTTTAAGGTTTAGGGCTTAGGGCTTAGGGTTGTTTAAGGTTTTAGGGCTTGGGGCTTAGGGTTTTTCAAGGTGTAGGGCTTAAGGTCTAGGGTGTGGATGGTTGTGCTTTGGGTTAAGGAGCCAAGAGAGCTATGGGCTGCTAAGGAGACCGGAGAGTTTGGGGTAGGGTTTAGGGTTTAGGGTTTAGGGTTTAGGGTTTAGGGTTTAGGGAACTGGGTTAGGGTTCTCGGGCCAAGAGAATTTAGGGCTGCTGAAGGCCTTGGGGGGTTTAGGGCTCAGGGGGGGGGGGGCTTCAGAGAGTTTAGGGCTGTTTGAGGTTGGAAGGGATTTGGGGTTTAGGCGGTTTAGGGGCTTTGGAGAGTTTAGGGCTGTTTAAAGATTTCGGGCTGCTGAAGGTTTAGGGCATGTTGGGCTTGGGGTGCACAAAGTCGCGTACAGCTGATGTGCAGGAGCCGTCAAAGGCACCGAAGTCCATTGAGGCCATGAAGTCATACTTCCTCATGTTCTTCCGCACCCCGTTCGCGAGCTCGCGCATCGAGGCATGCTTGATGCTGCGTGACTCGAAGAGCGGATCGCTGAAGATGAGCTTCTCCAGGACTCCCGCGTCGAAGAGGTGCGTGGCGCATCCTTTGTCGCCCGTACTTCTGATGAGCCGGGGCTTTTGCTTCCCCAAGCCTCGTTGGGTTTCACGTTGAACTCTCTCTCTTCATGTGGTCTAGGGCCTAGGGGTTAATTAAGGTTCAGGGTTTAGGGCCTTAGGGGGTTCGGGGGTTCGGGTTTAGTTAGGGTTGCGGGGGTTTGGGGGAGGAGGTTTAGGGGAGACCCCCCCCCTCCGCCCCCCGCGCCCACGCGCCCCCCACCCCCCGCCCCCCCCCCCGCGCAAACCAGGGAATAGGGAACCAGCGACCTGGTCCTGCAACATCGACGCGCCCCCCCACACGACCCGAAAACCGGGGCTTGGGGTTTGGGGCTTTGGGGGGGGGGGGGTTTTAGGGTTTAGGGTTTAGGGTTTAGGGTTTAGGGCTTAGGGTTTAGGGTTTAGGGTCTAGGCTTTTGGCTTTAGGGTTCAGGGTTGATATCACCCCTCCAATACTCCGTTTGTGTATGACTCATGTAGTCATCATTAAGAACGTCTAGTATTGGGGAGGTGGGCGGCAAAGTCCCTAAACCCTAGAACCCTTAAAGCCTGAAACCCTTAAACCCTTAAATCCTTGAGCCCTTGAACCCTTAAACCCTGAAACCCTTGAACCCTTACACCCTTAAACCCTTGAACCCTTAAACCCAAAGGGTCCTTGTACCCTTAAAGCCCTTAACACTTAAACCCTGAACCCTACACCCTAACCCCCAAACCCTAAACCCCAAAATCAAAACCCCAAACCCTAAACCCTGGCTTGCCGCCTTGCCTTCCACATCGTCCTGGCGGCAAGGCACGTCGGATTTCCTTAAAATCCTAAACCCTAAATCCTAAACCCTAAACCCTAAACCCAGGGCTTCTTTTGGGCGCCAGAGCTTAAGAGGTTCAGGGTGTAGGATGCCAGGGTTCAGCGCAACCGAAGACTCTCCTGCTTGCTGCCTTCCCGGCTTCCTTTCCGCCCCTAAAGCCTAAAGCCTAAAGCCTAAAGCCTAAAGCCTAAAGCCTAAAGCCTAAAGCCTAAAGCCTAAAGCCTAAAGCCTAAAGCCTGAAGCCTAAAGCCTAAAGCCTAAAGCCGAAAGCCTAAAGCCTAAAGCTTAAAGCCTAAAGCCTAAAGCCTAAAGCCTAAAGCCTAAAGCCTAAAGCCTAAAGCCTAAAGCCTAAAGCCTAAAGCCTAAAGACTAAAGCCTAAAGCCTAAAGCCTAAAGCCTAGAGCCTAGAGCCTAGAGCCTAAAGCCTAAAGCCTAAAGCCAAAACCCTTCTAAACCCTTCTAAACCCTTCTAAACCCTTCTAAACCCTAATCCCTACCTAAACCCCAAACCTAAACCCAAAACCCTAAACCCTTAACCCTGAACCCTGAACCCTAAACCCGAATCATTCCAAAGTGCTTGGCGTATTTGGGGAGTCCGCCCTACACCCCAAACCCTAAACCCTAAACCCTGAACCCTAAACCCTAAACCCTGTACCCTAAACCCTAATACCCTAAACCAAAACCCCAAACCATAAACCCAAATCATTCCAAAGTGCTTGGCGTATTTGGGGATTCCGCCCTACACCCCAAACCCCAAACCCCAAACCCCAGACCCCAAACCCCAAACCCCAAATCCCAAACCCTAAACCCCAAACCCTAAACCCTAAACCCTAAACCCCAAACCCTAAACCCCAAACCCTAAACCCTAAACCCTAAATCCTAAACGCCCCGACCAGCTTTTGGAGGCACAGTCGAAGATTTCGAACTCACCCCTCCCCTCCTGGGACCCGTCGCTCGAGTTGCCTGGAGTCACGCTGTGGGGTTGTCGGGTTTCAGGGGTTTAGGGATGCTTAGGTTAGAAGGTTTAGGGTTTAGGGTTTAGTTTAGGGTTTAGGGTTTAGGGAGGTTTCAGGGTTTTAGGGATTGTCAGGCAGTTTTTAGGGTTTTAGAGTTCAGGTTTAGAGTTTTTTGGGCGGAACTTGGAGGCTTCTAGGCTCAAGTACCCAAACCCGAACTGGAACAGGCTCCACCCTTCCGGGGTCTAGGATTTATAGCGTATAGTGTTTAGGATTTAGGTGTAGGTTTGGAGGTTGAGCTTGCGTGTTTGGGGCTTAGGGTTTTTGAGTTTGGGCATGGGTTTTTGAGAGTTTGGGCAACGCTTCGAGGACGTAGGTTTGAGAGTTGACGATTTGAGGCTGGTCGATCGTCAGTTGAGGGTCTCAGTGCGTCCACGTGATTTTTCGGGAATTCTGAGTTCCGTCTGCAGCACTTGGGCATCTGCTTTGACGAGTGGTTCTGATGGTGCGTACAATGGTGACGGATATCTGTCTGTCACAGGCATCGCAATCTGTGAGTCGCGGTTCACCTTCAAGGACATGAGGGCCATCTTTGTAACTTCATCGAGCTCGCATCCCAAGGCGTCCTAAACTCAAAACCCAGAACCCTAAACCCTAAACCCCAAACCCCAAACCGCAAACCCCAAGCCCCAAACCCAGTCCTAAGGGACAACCGACTCCCCAACCACCGCTGGGGCCCTGGCTCGGTAGCGCGCCCATGGAGGGAATCTGGAACCTCGATGGGTTTAGGGTTTAGGGTTTAGGGTTTAGGGTTTAGGGTTTAGGGTTTAGGGTTTAGGGTTTAGGGTTTAGGGTTTAGGGTTTAGGGTTTAGGGTTTAGGGTTTAGGGTTTAGGGTTTAGGGGTTACGGTTTAGGTTTTAGGGTTTAGGGTCGTAGGGTAGGTTTAGGGTGTTAGGGGTTTAGGGGATTGGGGTGGTATCTACGTAGGGTTTAGGGATCCGGTTCTCAGAGGTTTCTGGTAGACTATACGGCTTTCTAAAGGCGACCCAACACCCCCAACACCCAAAACCCTAGGCTTTTATAGGGGGTTTATTGGGCTGAGGGTTTATGTTTTGGGGTTTAGGAACCCAAGGTCGGACTGTCAAGGTTTAGGGTTTAGGGTTTAGGGTTTAGGGTTTAGGGTTTAGGGTTTAGGGTTTTAGGGTTTTAGGGTTTAGGGTTTAGGGTTTACAGTAGGGTTTAGGGTGTAGGGCTAGGCAGCGCGGAAGAAGTTGGGAGATTCAAAGCTGCCGGGAGTTGGGGGGGGGGGGGGGGGCTACAAGAAGGGACCTGCACATGGATCACTGAGGGGTTTAGGGTTCAGGGTTTGGGGTTTGCAGGGCTTTGGCGATTTAATATTTGCAGGGTTTAGGGTTTGCAGTGGGTTTGGGCTTGCAGAGGTCTGGGTGGAGGGTTAAGATAAAGGGCTGGGGAATTGATGAAGCTTTAGAGATATGAAGGCCACGAAGGACCGAAGGAGTACAGCGTTGTAAGTCGCAACCCTAAACCCTAAACCCTAAACCCTAAACCCTAAACCCTAAACCCTAAACCCCTTTAGGAAGTACAAAAGCCAAGCAACTGAAGCGTCTGCACTCCGGAGACCTCGTTGCGACAGCCCTAAACCCTAAACCCTAAACCCTAGACCCTAAACCCTGAACCCTACGCGGACGGCAGCTGCCACTGCCGCTGCGATGGATGTATCTACATGGAGGCCCCTTTTGAGGTCCCTGCTGCCTGGGGGGTTTGGGGGGGGTTTTGGGGGGGGGGGGGGGTTAGGAGGGTTTAGGGGGGTTTATTAAGGGGGTTTAGGGGGGATTAGGGGGGGAGGTGGGGGGTTAGGAGGGATTAGGGGGGTTTAGGGGGGTTTGTTAAAGGGGGATTAGGGGGGATTGGGGGGGGATGAGGGGGGATTGGGGGGTCCTGGACATGAGAAAAAGGCGCATTTCCTGGAGCTCGCAGGTTATCATACAGTACAGAACCTTGGGAATCCTATACATATTACATGCAGATGATATATATATATATATATATATATATGTATATAGAAAATATATCATATACCATATATATATATATATATATGCAAACATATCAAGAAAGTGAGTACATTTTGGAGAACTGCATGCTGTCATGAAGAATTCTCCGTATGAAGTACCAGCCCTGAAGCCTAAACCCTGGACCCTTGAAGCCTGAACTTCGAACCCTTGACCCTAAACCCTAAACCCTAAACCCTAAGGCCCAAGCCCTAAGCCCTAAACCAACCTGCATACCCTTGCACTCCGCGGTACTTGGGCTAGGAAGCCTCCATCGAAATAGCAGGACCAAGAGCAAGGAAGCGATTTAGGTTTAGGGTTTAGGGTTTAGGGTTTAGGGTTTAGGGTCTACGGTTTAGGGTTTAGGGCTTAGGGTTTAGGGTGTAGGGTTTAGCGTTAGGGCTTAGGGTCTAGAGTTTGGCACTGTAAACCCAAGCCCCAAACCCACTCAACCCCCGCACATGCTCAACGAAAACAAACACACCCTAAACCCACAACCAAACCACAACCAAACACCTTAGGGTCATGTAGGGCCTTGGTGATTAGAATAGGGTTTTGGGGGGGGATATTGCAGCATATCTGTAAAGGGACGATGAGGGAATGCTATTAGAAGTTATTCCGACCCTTATAGTAACCCTAAACCCTAAACCCTATAGCCTAAACCCTAAACCCTAAACCCTAAACCCTAAACCCTAAACCCTAAACCCTAAACCCTGAACCCTAACTGGCAGATCGTGGTCGCCTTCCGTTTTTCATGACCGACGGGGTCGCCAGCTTGGACCTCGGTCATGGAAGGGTCCATAAGTTTAGGGTTAACCCTAAACCCTAAACCCTAAACCCCAAACCCTAAACCCTAAACCGGCTTGGGGTTGGTTTTTGTTTTTTTTTTTTTTGGGGGGGGGGGGGGGGGTCGTCGGGCTAAACTTAGAGTTGGTTGCTTTTGCTTGCGGGTTTAAGGGTTCTGGGTTTAGGGATAGAACACACTACGACGAGCGCTTTTGTTGAAGCTCTGTTTCTTCAAAGCTCTTTGCGGGGATTCGGGGGTCATTGCCTGTGCCCTCAACACTTTCCTAAATCATGTACACCCCATTGGGTTTAGGGTCTAGGGTTTAGGGTTTAGGGTTTAGGGTTTAGGGTTTAGGGTTTAGTTGTGAAATCAGAGCGGCCCCAAACCCTAAGCCCCCAAGCATCGCCATCGACAAAACGCCACCCTCGCCACGGCCAGTAAGCTTCCGTCCAGGCACTAGAATTTCTGTTGCTGCTTGTAGGCGCACGGGTAGTTAAAAAGCCAAGCTATACGCAAAAGAACCCTAAACCCTGAACCCTGAGCCCTAAGCCTTATAACTCGACTTCTATACTCCCCTTAGAACCTTGATAAACAAAAAAATCACTTGTCCCTTCAGTTTTACATAGATAAGCTAAGAATCCCTAAACCCTAAACCCTAAACCCTAAACCCTAAACCCTAAACCCTAAACCCAAAGGGGGCTAAAGAGCTCTAGCTAGCCTTGGGACCTCCTTGTAGTGCTCGATGGTGTGGAGTATTTGGGAGACTTGCACCCCAGAAGCCAGGGTTTAGGGTTTAGGGTTTAGGGTTTAGGGTTTAGGGTTTAGGGTTTAGGGTTCTCTCGCGATCCAAGCAACTATGAACTGAGCTGCTGACGGCGCTACGGGGGTTTAGGGTGTAGGGTTTAGGGTTGAGGGTGTAGGGTATAGGGATAAACTACGCCCAGACACCCGAAACCCTAAACCCTAAACTCTAAACCTATGTAGCTAGCCGCATGAGAGCCCTCCACTGGCCTCATCGACTTCGACTTCCACGCTCGCCTCCGACTCATCCTCCCGGCATGCACGAAAACTTGAAGCGCCAAGTTGCCTTTAGGGTTTAGGGTTTAGGGTTTCGGGTTTCGGGTTTAGGGTTTAGGCTCCCCCCCCCCCCCCCCCCCCCCCCCCCAGACCCCAAAACGGAAAAGAGTTTGGGGTTTCAGGGGAGCATCACTCAACCCTTCATTCTACCCATCCGGAACATCCCTATGCTGCCAAAAACCACCTTTGCACACAGCATGGGTGGAGGCAGTTCATGGCTCGGATGGCTTGTAAACCCCAATTCTTCCGTCCTCCATCATTGGCAGGGACGCGGAGGAAGACGCATCGCTGTGCTCCTTACAGGTGGGAGGTTCGGGTTTAGGGATTCAGGGCTGGGTGTGCCCCGAAACCCCTCAACCTGTTTAGGGTTTAGGGTTTAGGGTTTAGGGTTTAGGGTTTAGGGTTTAGGGTCCGTTTTTGCATCCCCAAGCCGGATAATCCTAAATCTGAAAGCCCTGTCCTTCAGCGACAGCGACGGCAGGGGAGACAGCCAGAGTCTGCCGGGCCTCGCCCGCGCGAAGGGCAAGGCCTCTCAGGAAACCCAAGTGTAGGGTTTAGGGTTTAGGGTTTAGGGTTTAGGGTTTAGGGTTTAGGGTTTAGGGTTTAGGGTTTAGGGTTTAGGGTTTAGGGTTTAGGGTTTAGGGTTTAGGGTTTAGGGTTTAGGGTTTAGGGTTTAGGGTTTAGGGGTTTTGGGGCTTGAGGGCATTTAGGGTTTAGGGTTTGGGGTTTTGGGGTTTAGGGGTTTAGGGTTTTAGGGTTTGGGGTTTTGGGGTTTGGGGCTTTTAGGGTTTGGGGTTGAGGGTTTTGGGGGTTGAGGGTTTTGGGGTTGTGGGTTTGGGTTTTTCTAGGGTGTCGGGGTTTGGGGTTCAGGGATTTATGGTTTAGGCTCTTGGGGGTTTGGGGTTAGGGGGCTGAGGTTGTCCAACTGAACTATGGCCCCGTTTTGCTACTTTGTTCGTTAGGGACCATATCAAGGGCCCAAAACACTACCCTCAGAGGCTCTTAGCTCATGTCCGAACAGAGTCATCCGCCGAACTTATGACGCTTCAGACGTCGCTCAGCCCCAGCCCTGCAAACTCCCAAGCACCCAAAATCCCAAGCAACCAAGCCCTAAACCCCACATAAGTCACTGGCTCGTACAGGGGCTTTAGCAGTAGTAAGAACTAGGAAGATAAGGTGCCTACAGGGAAGTTCTACTTCTGTTGAGGTGCCGAGGCTGACAGAGGACCCTGAGTCCCTAAAGCCCTAACCCCCAACGCATCCCCCCCTCCCATAACCCCTAAACCCTGAACCCTAACCCCTAACCCGAGGGCTCCAGGTATACAAGCAAGACCTACATTGGGGTCTAAAGTCTGCAAAGAATACCTACTTTGGGATATTTGGAAATCGGGTAACACAAAAACAAGCAAACCCCCCCAACCCTCCCCCGCCTCCATAGCCCCTAAACCCTAATCCCTAAACTTGACCCTAAACCCTCACCCCTAAATAAGGAGAAGCAAAAAAGAGCACCGGGCCCCCCCACCAACGCAAAGATCTGCGGCGAAGCCCCCGCAAGGCGCACAGTCGAGTTGTGGTCCACCAAGGGGAGGAGCTGCACAGGAGCTCCGCGGTTAGGGTTTGTGATTGCTTTGTAGGGCTTTATAGGGTTTGCAGGGTTCATGGGGTTTATAGGGTTTATGGCGTTTATGGGGTTTTTGTGGTTTATATGATTTACAGGGTGAAAAGGGTCGGGTTTATAAGGTTTAATTAATAGGGTTGAAAGGGTTTGTAGGCGTTTAGTGGTTAGACCTACCTTTCATGACCCGAAGAGCCACTCTTAAACCCACAGTATCCAGGTTACGTGTACCACGAAATGTCCTGAACTGCATTGACTCCCCCCCTCCTCCCCCAAACAAAAAAAAAGAGCCCCAAGCCCCCAAAAAATCGGGAATTCCTTACGTCCCAAACCTACACAGAAGCCTACACTGAACTCCAGAAAGCTGGAACATGGTTTCAGGAAGATTAGAGCTGCGATTCCCCTTTGTACACTTATATTGGAGTATGTGGATGTAGATCCAACTTTTTGGAGTAAGCCCCAAAGGTCTACGCTCTCGGTCCCGGCGCAGAGCTTCGATAAGCCCCGAACTACGCCCACTAAGAAATGGAGAGCCCCGATTGGTCAAAGAGAGAAAGTTGATGGCAGCCCAGCTACCATGGACAACTCACATGTCAACAAGAAACAAGCAACTTAGTGTTCAGCGTGAGACCTGGGACTGCATCTGTGGACTTCTTTGTGACTGCTCTACCCGACCCATGGATGCTGACATAGTAGGGAGCTTGATCTGGGAGCCTCCCTGCGCGCTGCTGCGCCTCATACTCCACTGTGTAGTTGTGGGCAGCCATCAAGATCTGCAGCTAAACTGTCAGACTGACAGACTGCTGGAACTGCAATGTGACAGCATTGCAAAAGCAGGACTGCTCGCCCTCCGTGCCTCTGCCCAAAAGGCTTCCACAAAGTCAGAAACCCCACCAGTCTGATCCATCCTCCTGCTGACCAGTTCCAGAGTATCCATGCCAAGAAGGCAGAGTATCCATGCCAAGAAGGGTTTTAGGTTTAGGGCCATAGCTAGAAGGTAAAAATCAACAAGTCCTGTAAAAAATAGCAGGAAGGATCCAAGCCCTGAGCCACCAAACCCCAAAACTAGGAAACACTAAACGATAAACCCTGAGATCTCAGGCCCCAAACACTCAGGCCCTAAGTCGCAATCCCTAAACCCTAAACCCCTAAACCCCTAAACCCCTAAACCCCTAAACCCCTAAACCCCTAAACCCCTAAACCCCTAAACCCCTAAACCCCTAAACCCCTAAACCCCTAAACCCCTAAACCCCTAAACCCCTAAACCCTAAACCCTAAACCCACAACGCACAGGAGAGCCCCAAGCCCTGAGGCCCCAAGCCGGCCCCAGACACCGTCAACAATGCAAACGAGGCGCCCCTACGGCCCCAAACACTTGGCGCCCTAAATCCCAAACCCTAAACCCCAAACCCCAAACCCCAAACCCTAAACCCTAAACCCTGAACCCCACCAAAGCCTTCAGGATCTCCGTCATGGCCGTCGCATCGTCCTCGTCCTTGAGGAGAGGCTGGCCGGGCTCTCCTGGCCACCAGAAAGCTCCGGATGGCTCTGGTGGGGTTTAGGGCTAGGGTTTAGGGCTAGGGTTTAGGGTTTGGGGTTTGGGGTTTAGGGTTTAGGGTTTAGGGTTTCAGGGCATCCCCAAGAGCTCAAAATCCCAAACCCCCCCAAAACCCCCCCTCCCCCCCCGCCCGCCCTAAACCCACAAACCTGGTTCTGGCGCACCGGCGGACCCTGTGCAACCTTTGACTTAGGGTATATATTTCTCGTACCCCCAAAGGGACACCCGGTATGTACACTCGTCAATATATTAAAAAGGAACCTTATATACACTCACCAATAACAGGAATATACACCCTACTTCATATGGTTCGTATGACCACAACTAGTTCGGCAACCTCGTTCATGTACGCTCTATATTCTCCTGGGGGGGGGGGGGGGGGGGGGGAGGATACCGCAAACCAGCTTGGCCCGTCAAAACCGACATAAACCTGATCCTCTTAGCATGAACGGGAAGATACAATATCCCAAGGGCCTACCTCGCACATAGTGTGGTAGGGTTGGTGATGCAAGTCGCCTCGAGCTGGGGACTCAAGGGAGTCTCAGACCCCTGAGGATGTACCCCCTAAGAGGTTCTCCTAATGTGCGGTCCTGATATTCCCTTAGAGGATCCTCAAAAAGGGCCCCAAACCGCAAAGCACAACCTTAGGGGTCCAAGGTAGTGTCCCATGAGGGACAACGAGCACCCTACAACCTTGCATCCGGCGTTTACTGTCCGGGGTAAGTTCAGGGCTGACGGCCACAAGACTTGCTGGCGAGCATAGCCTTTCATGCATCTTGCCCTCCATAACCCTACACAGTAACCCTAGAACCCATGAGTTACCACGGGGCCTTTGCTGAGCAAGTCGTCCACCAGATCTGCCTTTGCTGCTGCAGCGGATTCTGACTCGGTTCTGCTTCGGCTGTTGAGGGCCAGCACATGGTTCAGGGTGTGGGGTTTGGCTTAGGGCTTCAGACCATCTAGATCAGACAAGGTGGCACCCTAAACCCTAAACCCTAAACCCTAAACCCTAAACCCTAAACCCTAAACCCTAAACCCTAAGGGCTCCAGTCTTCCTTCAGTGACAAAGTTTCACTGAAGCTCCGAGCCCCCCCCCCCCCCCCCGCCCCCAAACCCTAAACTGTAAAGCCCAAACCCTGAACCCCTGTAGACTCGAACTCCGCCCTTGAAGACATCAAGTGTGCCGGGGTGCCCTGTAAGAATGCGTTTAGGGTTTAGGGTTTGGGGTTTAGGGTTTAGGGTTTGGGGTTTGGGGCTTGGGGCTTGGGGTTCAGGGTGTTTGAACCAACACTTGCTGGAATGACAAGCAAACCCCGCCGAAAGGCCAAGGGGTTCCTGGGTAGGGTCATGAGTAGGGCCTCTGTCCATGAGACTTCGAACCCTCTTGGGGGTACGTGCAACCTTACATAGATAAGTACCCCTGAACCTTCAAGCAGAGTTTAGAGGACTTCCAACCTTAACCCTTCACCCCAACCCGAAACCCTGCAAACCCTGAACCCCAACCCTAAACCCTAAACCCTAAACCCTAAACCCCAAGATCAGGGAACACCTGAGAACCCGGGCGACTTGTCCAAAGATCGTCCAGAGTGAGCCTTCTGTGGGCCTGGAACGAACCCTGGCTTCACTTGACTATACTTAGGGTTTAGGGTTTAGGGTAGGTTGACGGGCTTGGGGTTTAATTCGGGTGTACCCCAAGGAACCCCAAAGCCCTTCTTTGTGGGTTATTGCTAAACACACCCCTTGTGTGCTTTGAATCTTACTACTTCAAAACAAGGAAGTAGGGAGAATTGGGGGGGTGGAGGGGTGGGTGGGGGATGGGGGTTGGGGGAGGTGGGGTGGTGGGGTGCGATGGGGTGGGGGAGGAATGTATTAGAGTGCATCACGAAGGTATGGATTTCGGGTTGAAGCGTGATGAGCTTTTATTTAATTCAGTTGCCTCCAGGTACGTAATCATCCCTCACTATCAAACAAGAACCCGGATAGACCCTGAACATCAAGAACCCGGATAGACCCTTAAACGAAGACACACACGGAAAAAAACGCACCCAACCCCAAGCCCTAAACCATAAACCCGGACAGAAAAACAACTTTCAGTGTACCTACCCTAAACCCTAAACCCTAAACCCTAAACCCTAAACCCTCAACCCTCAAGCTCTAACCAAAAAAAAAAACTGTCGAGGGCATCCGGGAGCCACGGGGAACCTTTCGGGGAAGGAGGGGGGGGTTTGGGGGGGGGGGGGGGGGGGGGGGGGGGGGGGTGGAGTGTGGAGAGAGGGTGCCTGCATAGGGGATGCTAGAACTCTAGACCCTAAACCCTAAACCCCAAACCCTCCTAAACCCCAAGCCCTAAAACACGAAGGCGGCTGAGAGGAGGATCATTCTCAAGTTCAGCCAAGGGGGCTCGTAGTTCTCGTCGTGGAACCAAAGAGCCTCATCCACCGCCGTCTCGACCTGCATTCCAAGCTTCTCCTAGAGTACCATGTAGTATCGCATTAAATCTAAGAGTTTCTTGTAGCATGCCATAGTGTGTTCTCATGGGTTTCCATATATGCTCATGTATGATCGATTGTCATAGTATGTTAAAGTGTATTCGAGTTGGTTGGAGTTGTCGTGCGTTCTCGTATATGACTGTATGTTAGAGCATGTTATTGTACGATTTGTTCGTATCATATATTGTATTCTATAAGATATATATATATATATATGTGTGTGTGTGTGATCGCAAGTTCCCGTATATTCTTGTATATTATAGTAGATTATCGGATAGTGTCGCATATTATAGTTTTTTGATCGTATGTTGTAGTATATTCTGGTATACCATAGCAAAGTAAATTGTAGTAAATTATATGTAATAGGCTGTCGTTTAACGGGATATATTCCAGTGTGCTCTAGTACTGCACAAAGGAAGCTTTAAAACCTCCAACGGACAAGAATAGCACAAACACCGGAAGCCAAGAAGTGAGGAGTCTGTTAGTCTGAAAAATGTCCATAAGGCCCTCTTAAAGCCAGATGTAACACAATATCCCAAGGCGCGCTCTTAGTAGACAACTCCACGAACCCAACCTCCTGGGGTTTCGGTATAGCCTATAGCCAAACCCTAAACCTCGTACGCTCAGGGTGCAGTCCACTCGACAACCGAAAGCACAAGTCCTAAACCCACAATATCGGGCTCAATGCTCCCTGGTTCTAAGTAGGGAATGAGGGAATGAGGACCCTGCATAATCCCTTCAAAGGCTCTATATACGGCCCTCATTCCGTCATTCCCTCATTCCCTACTAAGAACCAGGGAGAATGTCCCACTATCGAGAGCACAAGCCCTGAACCCACAATATCGGGCTCAATAGCCGACAGCCGGCTGCAGTAAGTGCAGGATTAGGGTTTAGGTTTGAGAGCTTGAGAGCTCTCAACCCTAAACCCTAAACCCTAAACCCTAAACCCTAAACCCTAAACCCTAAACCCTAAACCCTAAACTCCAAGCCCCAAACCCTAGCTGGAAGAAGGAACCGTAGGACTCAAGTGGGGAGCCCCCCGCCTCCATAGGCTTCCGTGACTTCCTCCCACCACCAACCTGGGGGGATTCTCAAGGGTCGCAACTGCAGTTGGGGTTTAGGGTTTAGGGTTTAGGGCTAGGGTTTAGGGTTGGGGGTTGGGGTTGGGGGTTGGGGGTTGAGGGTTTAGGGCAGTAGTGTAGGGTTTAGGGTTTGTGGAAAGGGGTTTGGGGTTCCGTGAATTGTGGGGCTTTCCCCAAATAGGGGTGCCCTTTTGCATGTTGCAGGGGGGTGGGGAGGGGGCAAGTACACATATTAGGGTAGTTATGTGGGCGCTTCTTAAAGGGTTCTGAAGTATGGACCCTTCGGGTATATAAGGGGTACATACTTTTAAGGGCCCATGCTAAGGGATCATGTATCTACCGTAAGGCATATTAGAGTTGTCGTCTCCTGGGGTTTGGGGCTCGGCTACTTGCTTATGTTTGGGTTTGGGATTTTGTAATTAGGGTGGCACGTGGGTTTCGTGGCCTTAGGCTTCTGAGCACTTATACGGTTTAGGGTGAACCCCTAACCCTAAACCCTAAACCCTAAAACCCAAAAACTAGAACCCCAAAAGGGCCAGTTTTCTGAGCCCTGATTTGCTAAACCCTCAACCCTAAACCCCAAAGCCTCAACTCTTTGGAGTGGTGGGGGCACAGGGACCCGGCACAGGGCCCCTGCGTCTGGAGAGGGTGAGCACTCATCCGCCGCTAAGGCTGGCAAGCTGAAGGGCTGGTTCTTAATGTGTACCAAGTTTTGGGGTTTAGGGTTTAGGGTTTAGGGTTTCGGGTTTAGGGTTTAGGGTTTAGGGTTTAGGGTTTAGGGTGTATGAGCACCCTACATGAGAGGGGCCGCCTTGTAATCATGACCCCAAAAGGGACTGCATTGTAGAGAAGTGACCATATATGTACGCACGTATCTAGGATACTATACGCACAGAAAAACACTCCTAAACCCAGGCCCACGAGTAACCAAGAATAACCAAGGTGACTATTTGGTATCAAGGGGCGCATAAGGTTATAAGGGGACCTCAACACAAAACCCTAAACCCTAAACCCTAAAACCTAAACCCTAAACGGAATACGGGTCTACTCTGGGCCCGAGTTTATGTATTGCCAGGAAGCGCTGAGCATGTTCAGCGAGGAGACGTTCAGCGAGGAGTTGCGCTGCGCGCTCGCCCGTTTTGTCATCTGGGCAGAAGGGTTTAGGGTTTAGGGTTTAGGGTTTAGGGTTTAGGGTTTAGGGTTTAGGGTTTAGGGTTTAGGGTTTAGGGGCTTACCCTGAACGCTAAACCCTATATTCTAAACCTCTAAACCCTAAACCCTAAACCCTTAACCCGAATGGGAAGGTGTTGACAAATGCACTTTCGGGTTGAGAGTGTCGGGTTTAAAGGTTTTCAACGCCGTGCATCCTGTGCAGAACCCATTCCATCCTAACCAACAAGGACAGGGGGGGCGAAACAACACTAATTCTTTTCATTAAAACAGCAGAACAAGCTAATAGCAGAACAAGCTGTTGCAAACAGACAAAAAAAAACAAACCAAACACAATCCATCCAAAACCCTAAACCCTAAACCACAAACACATGCGTATGGCTCATCCAGTCAGTGTTGGTTGCCGTCGCATCCTCTCACTCCACGCTTTCATCAAACCTCGTAATGTCCCCCCAAACCCCAAAACCCGAACCCCTAAACCCGTACACCCCTGGAACCGGAAACCCCTATATCCTAAACACCCCTAAAACCCTCAACCCCTAAACCCCTAATCCCCTAAGCCACTAAACCTCGAAAAAAGCCCTAAACCCTAAACCCTAAACCCTAAACCCTAAACCCTAAACCCTAAACCCTAAACCCTAAACCACCAAACCACCAAACCCCATAATCGCCCATGGCCTCTGAAAGCTGGCTCATCTTCGTGCTGTCGGCCGAGGCTGGGGGTCCTGTCATGTCTTGCCTGCGCTTGGATCATTGGGAGGTGTCTTCCCTAAACCCTAAACCCTAAACCCTAAACCCTAAACCCTAAACCCTAAACCCTAAACCCTAAACCCTAAACCCTAAACCCTGAACCTCATGAGGTGTAGGCTATAGGGTTTTTCGGGTACGATGTGCTGCTTCTTGTTGAGCTTTTGTAGGGACGGGGGGGGGGGGGGGGGGGGTCCTGTGCAGCTTAGAGGGCTTTTGGGGCTTTGGGGTTTAGGCTTAGGCGTTAGGGGCTTGTTATATAGGCTTATTATACCAAACCCTAAACCCTAAACCCTAAACCCTAAACCCTAAACCCAGAACCCTAAACCCAAAACCCAAAACCCTAAACCCTAAACCCTCAAACCCTAAACCCTAAACTCTAAACCCTAAACCCTCAAAGGGCCCATTGTTCCAACCTCGGAGGCCTCTTCCCGGTGGGAGCTCAAACTCTTTCAGGAGTTTAGGGTTTAGGGTTTGTAAGGTTTAGGGTTTAGGGTTTAGGGTTTAGGGTTTAGGGTTTAGGGTTTAGGGTTTAGGGTTTAGGGTTTAGGGTTTAGGGTTTAGGGTTTAGGGTTTAGGGTTTAAGCTCTTTCTGGCCCCCATTTTCATCCCCTACATGCCTGCTCGCAAGTCTTCTGGAATCCCAGAAAGGGGCTTAGGGTTTACAGGGTCTGTGAACCTCTGCTCAGATAGTCTTCTAGAATCCCCGCTCCCAAAAAAAACAAACAAGTAACCTAAACCCGCAGGGTTTCGGGCTTAAAGCCTATAGGGTTTAGGACTGAGCCCTGGCCCTGAACCCTAAACCCGGCAAGCTCGGAAGTCACGGACTAGAAGATCAGAAGGGCGTGGACCCAATGAAACCCGGTTCAGCTTTATACTGCAGGTTCTGCGGTAACCTACAGTAAAGGAGATGTGTAAAGAAGTGCTTGCAAAAAGGGTACCACTGAAATTCTAAGTAATCTGACAGGCAGCGCAGAAGAAGGCCCCTAAACCCTAAAACCCTAAACCCTAAACCCGCAAACTAAACCCCAAAGCCTGAAAACTCTAAACCCTGAACCCGAAACCCTAAACCCCAAAGCCTGAAAGCCCTACACCTTGCAGGCCTGTGGCGTGACAGATGACTCTGCCGGAAGAAGCGAAGCCTCTTTCTTGCTAGGGTTTGGAGGGTGCAGGGCAGGGCTGACAGGGTTGAGGGCTTCGAAGGGTGTAGGGTTTAGGGTTTAGGGTTTACGGTTTAGGGTGTAGGGGTCCAGGGTCTAGGGCTCAGGGTTACTTAGAGGTTAATTGGGGTATAGGGTTCAGGGTTTAGGGGGGGCTAGTTAAGGTTTAGGGTTGATTTTAAGGAAAAGATGGAAAGGGTGTAGGGCTGACAGGGTTGAGGGCTTATAAGGGTTTACGAGGGGTTGTAAGGGCTTCTGAGGGTTTATTGGGGCTGATGGGCTCACAAGGGCATAAAGAATTCCCTAAACCCTACACCCTAAACGCCAAACCCTAAACTGGCATTTCAGCACAAAGAAGCAGTCACGCAGTCAGCCCATGTCCCAGGTCCAACCTGTGCTTCATCTGAAGTCAGTCCGATATCGTACTATTGGCTTCAGAAGCCACCCCAAGAATGAAAGCATATTCTTCGTTGAAAGGGAAACCTAGGGAATATTATCTTGTATTCTTGGGTGGGTTCTTAAGCAAATAGTAGTATCTGGGGGTGTATGAGGGGAGAAATGGCCAGTACAGGCCTCATTCATGCCCATACCAGAAAATACCATTATTTCAAAATTCATCACCCGGAGGCTCCAAATAGCCCACAAGTAGGTATTTTTCCCTAAGGGTCCATGTACCTCATTATTATATACTTGGCCCCTAAAGCCCTGTATAGGAGGTACTTCAAGACCCAAGTATATGACAATTAGGTACATGCACCCTTAGGGTTTTATACACTTTCGACCCCAATGTAGGTATTATTTCCTGACATGGCGCGTGCACCGTCCTTGCCTGCACATGATCTCTGTACACCCAATGAACCCGCCCTAAACCCTAAACCCTAAACCCTAAACCCTAAACCCTAAACCCTAAACCCTAAACCCTAAACCCTAAGCCCTAAGCCCTAAGCCCTAAGCCTTAAGCCCTAAGCCCTAAGCCCTAAGCCCTAAACCCTAAACCCTAAACCCTAAACCCTAAACCCTGAACCCTGAACCCTGAACCCTGAACCCAACCAAGTACCGACCCCTGGGGCCGGCGCAGGTTGTACAAGATCGGCGATGCTCCCGGACCTACACAGTCGGTAGGGTTTAGGGTTTAGGGTTTAGGGTTTAGGGGTTTAGGGTTTAGGGTTTAGGGTTTAGGGTTTAGGGTTTAGGGTTTAGGGTTTATGGTTTAGGGTTTAGGGTTTAAGGTTTAGGGTTTAGGGCTTAGGCTTAGGGCTTAGAGTTCAGGGTTTAGGGTTTAGGGTTCAGGGTTTAGGTTTAGGGTTGAGGGTTTAGGGCCTAAGGTGTATGGGCAGGGTTTTGTAGGGTCAAGGATTTAGGGTGCATAGGTCAAGATTTGAGCTTTTTGGGCTTAGGCGTGACGCCGCTAAACTGCCCCCATAGGGCCACTGTTGTCCAGCCAGGCGTTACGTCCGCCTTATTGGGACCCGACTTGAACGGCACAAGCTTTGAACTCTCCCCCCCCCCCCCCCCCCCCCAGTAGTTCTCCAAATCAAGGTGACCTTTTCGGGCTCCCGGTCCCCCGATGAAAGGTCTGCCTACGGCGACCCTCATTCAGAGAAGTACCGGGGCCCTCATGGCAGCTCCCAATCCTACACCCCAGACCCTGCTGTAACGGGCATATTCGCCTTAAACCCTAAACCCTAAACCCTAAACCCTAAACCCTAAACCCTAAACCCTAAACCCTAAACCCTGCAAGCCACGCTCGGCGGCGCCTGCGTTTCCGCCCACGTCCACCCACAGTGGCCCAACTTCCTCTGCCTGAGCAGTCGTGAGGTTCAGGGGTTCAACCCTAAACCCTAAACCCTAAACCCTAAACCCTAAACCCTAAACCCTAAACACCCGTCAAATCTGGTAGCTGCTCGAAGAGCCTGCACCCAAAATCACCGTAAGGTCCTTGTGATTCCCATATTGAAGGTTTAGGGGTATAGGGTTTAGGGCTGAGGGGGTGGCAAAGAAGTAGGGCTTTGGGGGAGGGACTCTTATCGCATATAGAGCAAGCCCCGTATGAGATTACGCTCAAGCAACATAGTACACAAACTTAAGCGCTCACCAAAAACTCTAATGAAACCCTAGACCCAAAACCCTAGGCAATAATCGTGCAAATAGAAAACCCCTATTTAGCCGCTTTAGCGCCCATACTATAAACTCTCAGATAAACTCTCAGAGGTTTATATACGTACTCGATTTGATCCCAAGCTCTACGACTCTACCCTACACCCTATAAGTTCATTAGGGTTTCGGGTTTAGGGTTTAACCTCCTTCTTATCCGGGCCTGGTGTACGATCAGTGTCGCGACAATCTCCAAAACGTCCACGGAGCGCAAGGTAACCTCGGACATGGGCAGGCGAGGGTTCTAATAGGGTCAATATGGGCGGTTTTTTAGGGTGTTTATGGGGCTCATAGGTTTATCGGGGTTGTGGGGTTTGCAAGAACTACCGGGACAACTGGGATTCTCGGGCTACAGTTTTGATAGGGCATACGGGCGTATCGATTTCTCAAAGGCTACAAGTACTGTTTATGGGGGATACTGGGGGGCCCTCAAGACGTTAGTCGTCCCTTTCGGGTCAAAGCATCTAGCATGTGGGCAACCCATCCCTACGAGGGGTGATTCGGCCTAGAACAGAGCCGCTTGTAGACGTGAAGGAACATTCCGTAAATCGCACAAGCAGGTGAGGGATCAGGTTGGGGGACATCAGCCGAGAGCAAAAAGGGGTGATCAATTTTTCTGAAAACTGCAAGAAAAGATAACTGGTTTCTGCAACCCACACAACTCACCAGAGTTCACCTCCCAAACCTCTCTAACCTCCACACAACCCATTCCCTGAAGCTCCCTCGCCAAAAAAAGAAGCTCACTCCAAACTACACCAAACACACGAGACCCTAAACCCTAAACCCTAAACTCAGGGCCTGGGCCGCCCCCCTACGTTGGGGGGCGGCGCTTAAGCCTTTCGACCTCGCGCTCCCACAGCATGGCGGTTGGTATGGGGTTGGTAGTGCCCACGATGGGTTGGTACCGGAACACGTTCTCTTGGGGACCAATACCTGTTTGGAGGGGGTCACCCAGGCCAGGCCCCACACCCCACGAATCGCTGGCCGTCTGACCCCCTAACCCCCCGCGCCTTTCTGCCCTTCTACCTGTGGCTTTTTTTGTGAACCGGGCTGGCGACCACCGTGACGGAATGAAGAAGTTATATGGAAGTAAGCATTTGGCTTGAGTTTAGGCCTAAACCCTAAAAAGAAACAGGTTTGGGTGGCCTCGGACGGCGTGGCGTGGGAGAAAAGTGTTAGATGGCCTTCCACAATCGGGCCAAAGCTGCTCTTCGCGCCTCACGAAGCTGTCGAGCTTGTTCCAAAACCTAACCTTCACAGCATCTACGCCCTATCACACCAAACCCTAAACCCTAAACCCTAAACCTTAAACCCTAAACCCCCAAAAAAAGAAACCCGTCGAGGGCTGCCCAGAAGCCGAGGCTTCGAAGTTCTGGAGCTGGATCACCCGGTGGAGTGCCTCTGTGGGCACAGGGGTTTAGGGTTTTAGGGGTTTAGGGTTTTAGGGTTTTAGGGTTTAGGGTTTGGGGTTTAGGGTTTAGGTTTTAGGGTTTGGGGGTTTGGGGGTTTGGGGGTTTAGGGGTTTGGGGGTTTAGGGGTTTAGGGGTTTGGGGGTTTGGGGGTTTAGGTTAGGGTTTGGGGGTTTGGGGGTTTGGGGGTTTGGGGGGTTTGGGGGTTTAGGGGTTGGGGGTTAGGGGTTAGGGGTTTAGGGGTTTAGGGGTTTAGGGGTTGGGGTTAAGGGTTTAGGGGTTTGGGGGTTTGGGGGTTTGGGGGTTTGGGGGTTTAGGGGCTTCGGGTTTTAGGGGTTTAGGGGTTTAGGGGTTAAGGGTTTACGGGTTTGGGGGTTTAGGGGTTTGGGGGTTTGGGGTTTGGGGGTTTAGGGGTTTAGGGGTTTAGGGGTTTAGGGGTTTTGGGGTTTAGGGTTTAGGGGTTTAGGGGTTTAGGGGTTTGGGGGTTTAGGGTTATGGGTTTAGGGTTTGGGGTTTAGGGCTTAGGCATTGAAGCTCTATGGGTGCTACTCGGGTTATCTCGGGCTTAGGGCCACAGAGAACTTCGAAATCTACTCCAAATCAACACCAGTAAGCCCTACAAGACCTTGTCAGACCCTGTCGGACCCTATAGACCGCATAAACCCCTATAAACCCCAAATCCTGTAAGGCCCTATAAAGACAGTATACATATGCTCTGTAGACCCCAACAAACCTTCTGGGGGTTTAGGGGTTTAGGGGTTTAGGGGTTTAGGGGTTTAGGGGTTTAGGGTTTAGGGGTTTGGGGGTTTGGGGGTTTAGGGGCTTAGGGTTTTAGGGGTTTAGGGGTTTAGGTGTTAAGGCTTTACGGGTTTGGGGGTTTAGGGGTTTGGGGGTTTGGGTTTTGGGGGTTTAGGGGTTTAGGGGTTTAGGGGTTTGGGGGTTTTGGGGGTTTAGGGGTTTAGGGGTTTAGGGGTTTGGGGGTTTAGGGTTTAGGGTTATGGGTTTAGGGTTTGGGGTTTAGGGCTTAGGCATTGAAGCTCTATGGGTGCTACTCAGGTTATCTCGGGCTTAGGGCCACAGAGAACTTCGAAATCTACTCCAAATCAACACCAGTAAGCCCTATAAGACCTTGTCAGACCCTGTCGGACCCTATAGACCGTATAAACCCCCTATAAACCCCTAACAACCCTACAATCCTGTAAGGCCCTATAAACACAGTATATATATATATATATATGCTCTGTAGACCCCAACAAACCGTCGAAACCCCCCCTAGTAAGGCAAAGCAAACCAGAACTTCAAAAGGAGGGGTTTAGGTTCTGTAAGACACTACAAGACCCCATTAAAAAAACAAAAAAAAAACCTATAAGACCCTATAAGACCGTATAAAACCCTAAACCCTAAACCCTAAACCCTAAACCCTAAACCCTAAACCTTCAACCCTAAACCCTAAACCCTAAACCCTGAACCCTAAACCCGAAACCCTAAACCGCTCTTGGTGAGGCAAAGCTGACCCTCCGACCTCATCTGCCAAGTCTGCGTCTAGGCCTCCTTGCCAGCAAGGTAAGTTTGCTTCTGTTGTAGGGTTCAGGGTTTTGGTTTAGGGTTTAGGGTTTTAGGGTTTAGGGCTTAGGGCTTAGGGTTTAGGGTTTAGGGTTTCGGGTTTAGGGTTTATGGTTTAGGGTTTAGGGTTTAGGGTTTAGGGTTTAGGGTTTAGGGTCTTAGCAAGCAAGATGCACCTGAGACCATGCCAGGGTTAGAGAGACCCTATCATCCCCAAAGCCCAAAAAACATTTATTGAAGCCAAAACTTAAACCCTAAACCCTAAACCCTAAACCCTAAACCCTAAACCCTGAACCCTGAACCCTGAACCCTAAACCCTCCCCGTCCTAGAGGCCGCGCGCGCATCAGCCAGGCGGATGGCAGGCACGTGGCGCGCTCGCACGCGGCCACCGCAGCCAGTACCTAAGGTCACAGGGACTCAGGGCATCGTCAAGGGTTTAGGGTTTAGTGTTTAGGGTTTAGGGTTTAGGGTTTAGGGTTTAGGGATGGAACCCCGAAGCCTAAACCCTGAAGCCTTTCAAGGCCGAATAAGAAGGAAAAAAACTAGCCCAGCAAAAAACCCTGGAGGCCCCCAAGAACCCTGAAACATGCCTGAGAGCCCTAACCCTAAACCGGAACTGCCCACAAGGATGCATGCATAAACCCTAAACCAGAAACTCTAGACCTAAACCCAAAACCCAAAACCTGAAATCCTGAAAAATCTGGGGCGCCCAAGACATCAAGCTGCAAATCCTCACAACCTAAACCCTCTAAACCCTGAACCCTAAAACCTTCATGAACAGCGTCGCCTCTGCATGCTGGCCTAGAGCCCTAAACCCAGTAATCTCCAAAGCCTCAAGACAGGGTCCATGTACCTACATCGGGAATACTTGGACCTTAAAGTACCTTAGGGCCCAAGTATGGACTCTTGGGGTAACAGGTGACCTATTCTTCCCCAATGCTCCCCACTCCCTTAGTGTGCATAGAGGGCTGAAGGCTTCCACGTGACCACCTTCCCTCCCCCTCTCAGCCCCAAACCTAAACCAAAAACCCTAAACCCTAAACCCTAAACCCCCAAAAGACATCTGCAGGCAAGGATCCAGTTGCAGGGATAGCCGCAGCGCGGAGAGCCCAAGCTTCAGAACCTCAGTTCGGATTCAGGGTTCAGGGTTCAGGGTTCAGGGTTTAGGGTGTAGGGTTTAGGGTTTAGGGTTTAGGGTTTAGGCGGAGTTACGGGCTTCGGGAAGTTCAGGACTTGCCCGGAGACCCCAATGTCCCTTCAGGAACGAACATAAGACAAGAGCCCTGTTGCAATGTAGGGAATGTTCTTAATTCAGCGGTGCTGGAGACTCTGGGCACTTCCAAAATACCCCCCCAAAATCCAAGCCGAAGCTTTGAGAACTGTGTTCGAAACATCGAAACACCAAAGGAACACAAGAATTCTACCAACGATTACGGGCTCTGTTGAGGCCTGCCATTTCGTACAGTATGACCCAGGGGTCCTAAGCCCTGAACAAGAACTCGCGAAAGCTTCTAAACCCTGCGGCCCTACACCGTACACCCCAAACCCTAAGCCCGAAACCCGAAACCCTAAACCCTGAACCCTAAACCCTTGTACAAACCAGTCCCTCAGTTCAGAAGAGGAGCGAAGCTGGGCTGCGTAAGGCGACCTCAGAATGGGTGCTGGGCATGGTCTTGAGAGAGGCTGTCAGGATTTCATGGTCCCTCTGAAACGCTGCAGTGGGTTTAGGGTTTAGGGTTTAGGGTTTAGGGTTTAGGGTTTAGGGTTTAGGGTTTAGGGTTTGGGGTTTGGGGTTTGGGGTTTAGGAACGCTACACTGGGTTCTCTCTGTTTCGGATTCAGGGTTCAAGGTTCTTCTTGCTAAGGAACAGCCAGCGGTAAATCTTTAGTGCCTTTAACATGTCTGGTGTGGGGGTTAGGTTTCGAGACTGGCACCTAGAAAGATTCAGGATATTCGGATATGCAGCCCTTAGGGTTCTACATCACCTCGGGGTTCTACATCACCCTTAAAGGGGACTATGTATAAAGGAGCTAGACCCCTACGACCAAGAGCTTCTGGAGGTTGCTTTTGTCAAAAAGATTCAGGGCCTCAGCTTCCTGGACACATGTCCACTGACTTGTTCCTACAATCCAAATGCCGCCTTAAGCATATAAACCCTAAGCCCTCAAGCCCTGTAAGTAGATTTTTGTTTGAAACTCCCCACAATTTTTGAAACTCCCTGGAAACTCCTCGAAAATTCTCCCGAAGCATTCCCCG